TCCGAATGTCAATGGTACTGAAATGTGTACAAATTTTTTCTAGCATTGAGAGAATCTGCGAAATGAGGGGTCTAGTTTCAAAACGCGACTTTTCCACCTTTTCCTGAAAAAAGAGCTATTGGTTTCGTTAGAGGTCCGTTGCAGTTATCCGTCGTTCCAGAAAATGATTCGTAACAAAACGGTTTTTTCTTCATTCCAGAGAGCTTCATATAAATTTGTTAATATCGGAACGCGATCTTACAAAAAACTTCGTTGAAAAGTACGATCTCTCCAAATCAGCAATCAGATCTTCGTGTCACGATGTTTTGGCGTCTTTTTACATGAAAATGAAAATGTATCATTCTGAGCATTGATCAAGCTGATACTGAAAATAATTAGTATTGTGAAAGTCTGCTATTAGAGGTTGCTGATCATGTTTGGTGAAAAATGCCACATGAAATATTGAAATGTTAAGGAAATACTGTAAAAATACCTCTCTTGTAAAAATATTTAATGAAAACCAGTTTGTGTTTAAAAAAAATTCGTTTTCATCAAATATAAAAAAATTAGATAAATTAAATTTCAAAATGAGACTTTTCCAAACTTTTACCTCAACTTTCTCCATAATGACTAGATATTCCTGAATTATCTTATACTTTTGTTTTTATTTCCACTAGCCAAAGGCATTAATCCAAAACATTTAGCTGCAGAATGTTTTAAACAAATGATATGGCATTTTCTTGTTTTTCTGAAAACAGAATAGAGTGAAAACGTTTCATGTTGAAAATAGACCGCTGAATTAATTGTTATCATACAAAATATTAATTTTTACAAATGATTCTTCCTGGTAAGTTGGGAACTTTTTGGTTTAGTTTTTGAATAAAAAGAATTGTAATGTTTTGGTGTTATGGACCTGCTCATACCGGTTGAAATCTTTTAGAAATCTCCAAAAAGGCATGGGCGGTCCGAACACCGCTGTGCTAGCTGAATCTCTATGAAAAATGCGCGAGGGGTACAGGGTTAACATTATCTCCACACTACATAATGCAGATTTTTAATTTTAAATACATACATCAATTTTCTACTATATTCAGAATTAGAATATTTGCCTTCTTCGCGAAAACGAATTTTGACCACTTTATGATTAAAATTGTCAAGACAAATTTAGTGGATTTTAAGGCACTACAGCATGGATAATATATCTACGAGGACTGGGAATCGAACCCACCGCTTAACGAGTTTTAGAATTAGACTGACACTGAGCCATTCCTTCGCTCGTTCGATACTCTTATAACACATTTTGTATTAACGAAACTTTAAAGGAAAATTACGTTCATAGAAGTTAATGTCAATTCAGAGTCAAGGACAGGAATCAAGGAAGTCTTTTTCCTCTGTACTACTATTACTATTTAGCTCTCAATGGGTGTTGAAGTATTTTATATGCTCTCCAATAAAATAAATTTCTAATACTTCGATGTACAGAACGTAGATTCGAAAATAAACGTTAGATAGCGCTGTCGGCAAGCAGGGGTTTTCGAGGTTGGTCAGAAATCATGTTATAATTATAATACAAGAAAAGATATTATAGTGTAAATAATTATTTTAGGCGCAAAGAAATTTAAAGTTTCGAGATTGCTTTGTATTTTTTCATTATTACGTAAAATGTACTTGTCATTTTACCACTATTTAATAAATAAGAACACAATGTATGTTTGTTGGTTCGTACTTAATGCGCTGCCTTACCGTTCATCCGACTGCGATAAGGCATAGTGGGCGGGGCAGAGTATAGGCATAACACGATGGGAAAGTGCATTTGCCTGCTGCACGTAGACCCAAGCGCCCCGTTCAGGCGCTCTACGCACTCTCCCCGAAATATTAAGTGTCTCATCCTGCGATGGTCAAATAAAAAGCCAGAGAGAGCGAAAGAGAGGAAAAAACGAGGAGACCGAGGCAAAATAGAGGAAAAAGAAAACAAGAGGGAGACCAGATGTGGACGGGAAATCGGACAGAGGTGGATGGGGAAGCAAGGTGGACGGAAAAAATAGATTTCACAGGTAAATAAGAGGTGTGCTTGCCCTTCTAGTCAACGAGCGCTAGTCAGTGAGGACGCTTTCAAGTAAAATGTGCTTTGTTCGGCTCTCCTTCTAATTGAACTTGATATGATATAAGGGTTATGGTAGCGATTACAATACTCGAGAAAGGCTCTGGAGGAGAATGCACCTCCTCCCGTAGTACATTATATACTTCTTAAACTATTTGCGTTGAATAAAACATTACAAGTTCGTCATTTTCTTCAATAGGAATACTGCTGAGTTTGTGTGTGTGTGTGTGTGTGTGTGTGTGTGTGTGTGTGTTATTACCACAGCCAGTTCTAAAAAATATAATATACCCAATATTTCCCGTACTACGGTCAAAATGACAATCGTCAGATTCAGGGCCTGCCTCCCCTCCCCCCATTAAACGAGAACGTTTTTGAAGTGTGGCTATTCGCGTCACTCGACGACCGTTGTCCCCTGAAGATTAGAACCCCGGCAGCGTTCGCAGGCAGAAATGGGCACTGTGCAAAAAGTCGCTCACTGGTAGATTCCTCCAGGCACATTCCATGCACAAGACACTCAAACAAGCAGGGTAATCCACTTTGACTACTCAAATTTCAGATGGTTTTATGTTTCAATGCCAACACAGCTCAATGCGCTCTTTTGCTCTATTTCGCTCTACAACAAACGGTATACGTTAATGTGCTAGTGCAAATGTGGAAATGTTTATACAGTCTGAGAATTGAAAATCCACAAGTGTGTGTGTTCTGTTACGATGATGTTCTAAATTCGTTTAAATTCTGTATTTCAAAAATTTCCATGACATGCTGTCATATGAAATTTATCTTTGTCTTAGACATTCAACCATGACAAGTCTTGAAGTACGTAGCTCCATAATTCATGTGCGCATGTCTTCAAGTGTATTTACGGGTGCGAGCACCCACCCACACAAGTGGAAAGATTAAGTGCCTAAGTGAGTTTGGGGAAAGTTTTAAAGTCTTATATACGTGATCACATTCGATTATTCTCAATATGAATATGTTGGCTCTATTTTTTGGTCGTGTCATTTCATAATATTCTGAAAAAACTGTAAATTAAACATGTTCTTGAATTTGTAACGCACCCACACTGCTATAACGCTGCTGTACTATACTGCTGTCACAGCGCTATGTGAATCCTTTGCACAGGATACATTTACGTTAAAGATATTTGCACGAAACATGAATTTTTAAATACTTATTTTCTATCGGTATGTTTTCATTTAACTTTCGAAAGACAAGCAAGCCAGGGTACTTCAAAATTGTAGTTTACGAATCAAGGGCGCAACAGGTGATTCACGCACGGGTCTCGGTTGCTGTCCGAGCGACGCAAGGTGGACAAAGCAACGAATGCGGGAATCCCCTCGCGCCCGTGGTGAGCATGCTACTTTCATTTCGCCGTGAGCAAAATGCAGTTGGTCATGTCAAGAAATATAAATTAAATATCTAATAACTAGAAATACCTTACTTGTACGAAAGTAAATGTATACCTGTCAGTGTCAAAACAGTATTGTTCGTAAATAATAAAAATGTCATGATAAAAGACAATTGCGAATCGTTACAGATATTTCACATACGCTTTGCAATGTTTTGCACACAGTGAATAAATTGTGTTTGAAGCACGTACAACTGATAAGAGAAACCACGTTTCGTTCACGGCGTGTTTAAAAAACATTTCTAATATGATTCCTTAGCACAAATAAAAATAATCGACAAATTTCTTGTTGCCGGAGGTCCCCGGATTCGCCAGTTATTCATAAATTAGCATCGGTTCTGTAAGTTTGTGTCTAACATGCGTACAGAACGGACCGGAAGAACGACCACAAGGTTTCCAATGCAAGTGCAGATTCACGAGTCAATCCATTTACATTCCTGGCAATTTTTGCAAAAAATTCAAATGGAGGACCAGCTCGTTAACTAAACGTGGCATGTAACGAAAATAGAGAATTACTCATGTTCGACATGAAACCGCTTTTGTTAGTTTGCTTTAAGTCGGGGTCATTTTGGAATGTACGTTTCGTGAAAGAGGAGCATGATAAATTTCGAGGTGATCAAGTGAATATGTAAATAAATTAAATACAGTTGAATACAGTGAAAAACGTAGAAAATTTAACTATCGGTTATGAAGCACTGGCTTAGTACTGGCGGCAGCTGAATAAACTTGTCGAGGACATGCGAAGTGGATATCCCGCAACTTTTGTTATTTACAAAGTGTTTATCTTAAAATAGTATTTATTTACACAACGTCGAAAATACAGAAAGCTTTCATGCAAGTGTGAACTAACTTTTACACATTTATTTAATTTCCTTTTTTCAATTTTTTTCTTCCCATCAACGATGATTTCAACAAAGAAGAATTCAAATCCTTAGAGTTCAGAACAAGCGTCAAAGTCATCGATTCTAACTTAAAACAGAAATTAGCATTCCGTGAAATAAACGACCATAGAAATCACTGTACGAATATTCAACATAAGCTGTTCGAAGTTTCTATTATTACAGCTCAAAATCCCGTAAAACAATCAGGATTATTAGACTAACTTAAGCTTCTCATTGCAGAAGTCAGGTAGGTCACTCATACGAGAAATATTTGCATTTATTTTCTGGAAAAATAAATCCCCAACGAAAAAATACGAGTAGATTTCACTATTCTATGCCCAGAGCATACGTAAATGATTTAGATTGTAACTGCCTAAAGAACTGCGACTGTCAGCTACTCTTCCAACTAAATTCAATTGCATTCTCTATCTTGTGTAATCGTATTTTCGTTCACCGTAGTTTGACAAACATCAGCAGAAAAAATAAAATTTAATCTAGTCGATCAAGCTTTTATAATCTTCATATCATCACGATATAACTAAACAGCCAATTGACGACGTAATTGGTAATACCGCACAGGGTAAAGAATGCAATCGGTTCAACAATAATGCTGGAGATGTTTGCTGCTTACCAGATCCTTCTCTAGCGCGGCGATGTAGTGTTCCTGGCGAGCCATTCGGAGAAGTTGGCTGTTCGTGCGGGCTTGAGGCGTGGAGTGCGCTCTGAGCAGCCCTCCCCTTCCCCTCTCCTACTTCCCCGCTCCCCCTTCCCCGACGGACACTAACGTACGGAGGTTGTCGTGGAAGCCCCCTCCCCGTGGCCGCGAAAGACAACTCGCGATTTTAGCTTACTGTGTATGATTCCCGCACCCAAACTTTTAGGCTCCTGTACGCTTCTCAAACTCGTGGTGCTCAATCAGCACATACATTCTCACATTAATTACAAATGGGGAATTTTCAAAAATTCAGAGAGTTAAACAAAAATGAGACCCCCGGCATTATTGTAAGCGTCCCTTCTTCTACCCGTGGAAAACAATTTAGAGCGGTTTTGGGGACATTTTTACCACTTTATTTTTTAAATATTTTTTACTACAAATTACGCCAAAAGTACTCGTTTTTTAAAAATTGTGTATGACGTGTACAATTATAAAGAGATAATTTTTTACAACAGTCTAAGGTCAAAATATCAATCTTAAATTTTATAGTTTAGAAATGTTAACTTCTTGCACCTTCTAACATTATATACACATAACTGTGTGCTACTTTATACAAACCTCCGAGAATCAAAATATAACTTTAATGACCAGGCCCTATAAATTAATACTTTTTATTTTACAGGATTCTAGAGTAAGGGAATCACATAAGAACTCGAGAAATTGAGATTATTACATTTACAAAAGAAATCATATTGACTCTACTTTCTTGTTAGAATTCAATTTATATGCAGTTGAAAATGTTTTTGAAATAACAATCGTAGATGCGCTCAAAAATATCATACTTTGCATCTGCAGATCTCCATCAAAGCAGGCATTAGATTATTTCAGTTGTTTAGATAATACAAAAATAACTTAGCACAAAATTAATAATCGCTCTTTTGAATCCATTGATCAGTGTGAAGATTGTTGCATTTTGTATAAAACATCAATAATGATTTTCTGAGCTAATGTCACGCAAAAGAGAATTTTTTCAATCTACTTCATTCTACAATTGTAGATATTACAGTGAATACATTCAAACCAAAAGCAATAAATCACATTAGTGCCCTCTCGAAGGAACTAAATCCGGTATATTCAAAATCATCTGTTTCCAAAAAAAAAAAAAAATTCAACACATTTGTTTCCCAAATCTCTTCCAGGGAAATCGTCAGAATAGTAATCTAAAAAATGAATTTTCGGATGGTTTAGCCAAATTTCCAGATGTTTTTATTAAAAAATTTTGTGTACCTGCCTTTTGTGTACCGATTAACTCACATTTTCAATATTCTTTACGTACAGGAATATTTCGATATATTTTCAAGATGGAATAAATCAATTTGTTGTTTATAAAAGTAAAAAAAAACATTTTAACTTTTATGAGCGAATTCTCTTTGCAAGTTATTTAAAAAATATTAGAGATTCTTTTCGATATTCGTATGGAAACTACTGACTTTTCATCATCCCCAGAATCCTCATCGATAAATGCATTGTTGAAAGTACAAGAATGACTGTTCTTTTTCGGACAATAGGAATACCAATTTCATACCTTTGTTTGCAAAACCAAAAATACTGCTATTTATAGATCTTTGCTTGGTGTGATAAAATAATTCAGGTATGTCTTCCATTTTCTACCCAAGCATACTAGAAACTGTAAGAGTATGTCGGTATTTTAATTCGGCAGCTAAAGGCGATGAAGGGTACCAATTATCTATCGTGAGATTTCTCTTCGTGTCTGAAATTGGCATCACTGAACGTTTTACAGCGGCTGCTGGCGAAGTACTTACTTTGCAGGTTTACTTAGATGTACGAGTACTTCCATGTTTAGTGCGTAGCGGGTGTCGGTGACTGCAAATATTTTTAAATCATACTTCACAGGTTTATTTTCATGTATTGACGACATAGTTCTAGCATTTCGCTCATAGTGTAATGTTTTGAGCAGAAACCATGGAATATTGTAAATACATCACGTGTTGGGGCCAATGCGCGAGTCAGTTTCAGCTGGGTGCGGACCCGCCTGCCGGAGCTCGCTAGTGCGGTCTTTGCAATTTCATATCCGCTGTTATCTGGGGTTGCTGGAAATTCTGTGTCGTTGTCCTAATATTCCTGTTTGCTTGTCGTTTTGGGTTTTCTGTGCTACTGATATTGAACAACTTCGCGATTTATAATTTCACAAGCATGAGGGACTGAGGCAGCGGTTCGAAACCCCTGCCAAGAATGGACCGGTTGGCAAGATTCAGTGTTGTGACTATAAACTGCCGTTCCATGGTAAGTGCGTTAACCTTACTCCCGTAAATATTCAGAATTATTACGATAACGAGAGTATTTGGAGATGTGAGACCTGAGCTAAAAAGATGGCTATTGAATCTAAGCCTGGATCTGTGGTTATCGATGTCGATTGAGCAATTAAACTTGCGTCGGATTTGAGAAAGATCCTTAAGGCCATCGAGGAAAACCTAGGCATGTCAATTCATTACGCCTTTGTGGAATTAAAAGTTACTAAACATTTAGTGACCAAACAGAGTAGATAGTTGTTTTGCTTGATCTCGTAAATAAATTGTCAAATGAGTATGCTGAACTAAACAGAAAAGTACTTGTGATGGAATGTCAAATGGATAACATTGAAGAATACTCTTCGAGAGATTCTATAGAAATACATGATATTCTAGTACAGAAAGTCGAAAATGTCCAAGAAGTGGTGGAAACGGTTGGGAGGATTCTTGATCTACCAATTGAAGAAAATATAAGTGCATGCCATAGACTTAACGTTCGGAAGCAAAGTGGGTAGCCTCCAGGTATAATTGTAAAAATGGTTCGCAGACTGGATGCCGAGGCAATTCTGGAAAGAAGACGCGTCAAAAAAATTATCAACACACTATATAGGAATTTCTAGCATTCTTGTTGCACCCACCTGCATTAATGAGAGTCTCTGCTATACTGAAATAGTACTAAGAAAAAGTTAATTGATTTTCTAAATAAATATAACTTTATTATAAAGAGAAAGAGTAAGAGACAAAGAGATCAAGAGAATAATCAAACAAGAGAAAAAGAGAAAGAAAAAGAAATAGAGAAAAAAGAACAAGAGAATAATAGAAAGAAAGGGATATAAAACGAGAGAGAAAAAAATTGAGAGGGGATAGAGAGACTTGGAAGTATTTATTTAAAAAATGAGCTAAAACGATTTACGAGATGTAAGGTTTGAAGTATGAAACTCGTCACAAGATCCATCAAGCAAGCCCGCCTACCATAGCAGAATCAAACCAAACGAGTGCCATAAATTTTTAACTACTTTTTTACTAATTTATTACCGCAAATCTAAGATTATAGGGAACATATTTCAAATACGAGTTGGGGACTTTGTCCCTCGACTGCCTTCTGGGCAGGAAAAACCGTCTACCTGAGTGACCAAAAACATCCTGTCTTTTAAAACACGGATTTCGCTTCTCTCATCAGCGGAATGAGTCTCGTTGAAAGAATGGCCTTTAATGAAAGCATTGAAGAAATATCTAAAACACGAAGTTTAGCAGGTGAATAGTAGCAGTAATAAAAAAGCAAACCTCTTTGGTATAATCATTGTTATTCTATTTAGAGTTTTGGTTCATAAAACGATTACTAATATTTCCATTATAAGTTGTTCACATATGGAAACCATTTTTGTGTTAAGACGCGCGCCTTGTAGACACGGTTTTTAAATGACTGAGCTCTTGGTTGTAGCTTTTAATACAAAAATATATTGGATTCAGTAAATTATGGCCTATACGTCAAAGATATATTTACCTAATATGTTTTTTATTCTATTATATATTTTTATTCGTTTATGTTTTTGTATTCTTTGCAACCAAATCTATCAGACTCAAAAGAACAAATTTCGATTATCAAAAAGTATTTAATCAAAGAAGGAATAGAGCCACAACTTTAATTTTTTCTGTGTTTTTTCTGTAACAATGTAGTTACATTACATAAAATATAAATGATAGGAAGCGCACTAATTGAAAATTACATCAAAATTACAAGTAAAAATATAGTTACATTTAAAAAACAAAGCCATATCAATATCTCCAAAATGCTTCAACGTATCGAAAAAGATAAAAGTAATGCTCTTTTTTTTTAAATTTCCGTCCATAAGAATATTGAAATATATTTCTTTACTACGATAATTCTAGGAGTTTCTAGATGCGGAGCAAATGCCGGAGTCTTAAGAGAGGTCGGAAGTATAGGAATTTGGAGAGATTTTAAAATGAAATCT